TTTTTTATTTTTAAAATGAATAAACTTTATACCATACCATACCAAACTTGGCGATAAACTTTTGTAGTACACTGAGAGCATTGCAAGCTAATGTTGCAACTGCAATATACATGTGGATAACTACGGCAACAAGCCAGCTGGTTTAAAGGTGCCAGCTCGTTCTGCAGTCTGGCTGCATGTGCATCCGCCATGCTGATAAACAAAGAATCCGTCTATAGGTGCAGGTGTACCTGAAAAGCAAACACATGTTAAAGACAGAAAAAATAATTACAAATACAAAACAGGTTGAGCAGAGGTAAAGAAAAGCAGAGTGAAAACAAAATGTGGTCAGTTTGTCCTCCAGCAGTCTAAGCCTATAGCAGCATAACTAAGGGCTAGCTCAGGAAACCCAAGCCCACCAACACCGTCCACCTGTGCCTGTCCTGCAGTCTCGGATTTGGGAGAAATTTGGCAGAGCAGAAGTGGACCTATTTGCCACACGGGAGAACGCCCAGTGTCAACTATGGTTCTCACTGAGCCCACGAGACGATCCACCATTAGGAGTGGACGCGTTTGCCCACAGTCCGTGGCCCAAAACACTCCTTTATGCTTTTCCCCTAGTCCCTCTAATATCATGGTTTCTGAACCGAGTTCAGGAGGAAGAACTGTCTGCCATACTGATAGCCCCCGAGCGCATGAGCGTCCCGTGGTTTCCAATCCTGCGACGTCTGATATCGGGTCGTCCGTGGAAACTGCCGTGGAGGGACGATGCTCTCCTCCAAGTGGGAGGAGCGATCAGGAGCCACCCAGAAATAGGCCAGCATCTTTGGGTCTGGCCGTTGAGCGGATCCGCTTAGAGAAGATGGGTCTCTCTCAAGAAGTAGTGCGTACAATCCAGGATTCACGCGCTACCTCCACCACAGCGCTGTACACATCAAAGTGGACAGCTTTTCAATGCTGGTGTACGGAAAAATGTGTAGAGGCCATCTCATGTCCACTAGGTGGCGTGCTGTCCTTTCTACAGCAGCTGATGGACAGAAATCTGGCGTTCAGCACAATTAAAACGTATGCTGCAACCATCTCTTCCTGTCACGAAGGCTTCGATGACAGAACAGTTTTTAATCACCCGCTGATGAAGCATTTTCTAAAAAGGTGTATGGAGACACAGACCGGTGTCACGTCCACTAGCGCTACAGTGGGACTTAACAATGGTTTTGCGAGTCCTGATCAAAGCTCCTTTCGAGCCGTTAGATCAGGTTTCGATTAAATTCTTGTCACTTAAAACAGCCCTGCTGTTGGCTTTGACATCTGCAAAGAGTGAGTGATTTATCTGCACTCTCTGTTGCTCCATCATGCCTCAGGATTCAGGCTGATGGCAGTTCAGCTGATCTGAGACCTAACCCAGCGTTCATGCCTAAAAACATCACAAGCTCATTTAAATCGAGAATAATAACGTTGGAGGATTTTTTCCCTTCTCCCTACAAATCAGAAGAAGTATCTTTTCATCTCCTCTGCCCTGTGCGTGTGTTGGCATGTTACGTAGCACAAATGGCCTCACTGCGTCAGACTCAACATTTGTTTGTGCATTATAGAGACGCCTCTGCAGGTCGCCCGTTATCCACCCAGTGCCTATCACACTGGCTGTGTGAGGCCATTTCTGAAGCTTAAAGAACATCAGGTTTAGAGCCCCCTGACAACCTCAGGGCGCACTCAACCAGAGGAATCACATCCTCGACAGCCTTGCATAATGGTATGACAATGCAGGATATTTGCACTGCAGCCACGTGGTCATCGCCCTGCTCAATGGGGGCCGAGATGGTGTAGAGGCAGGGCAGCCGGCTTGGGACCCAAAAGTCCCAGGTTCGCTCCCCAGTCACTGCACATCACGTGGTGTCTTTGGGCAGCACACCTCATCCCCAAAGTGCCCCCCGGGCGCTTTCAATAGCTGCCCACTGCACCACCTGGTGGTGGATGGGTTAAATGCAGAGACTAATTTTGTCATTGTATGGAAACATACAGTGCTGACATTGTGATGACATTATTATTATTATTATTATTTATTCGCTTCTATCTGTGTGATGTGTCGGCTCGCTCCATGACGCATTCTGTCCTTGGTGCCTTAACAGAATGAATCTCATTGTTTTCATGGAACTTCGTTTAAACTCATTTCTGACTGCATGCAATTACAGTGTGTGTTATTTGTTTTCAGTTACAAGTTTGTGACTGTTGGTTTTTGTTCTAATGTCACTAATCAGTTCATGACTACTGTTACCAATCAGTTCATTTGATTACTAATCTGTTAATTTATTATGAATCTGTTCACTGTTTTTTCAGCCTCTCCCCTTTTCCTGTCGAGAACTTTTCTTTCCGGGCGCCCATGTACACAGAATGCGTAAATTACGCAGTGCACGTCTGTACATAGTGCGCGTAATTACGCAGCGCGTATTTACGCACATGGAGGGCTGAATGATAAAATGTTTTTTGGCACTTCATACGGTGTTTGAATGGACCCAGTGAGGCAGAGACTACATCCTGCTTCGCCTTTAACCCACCAGCGACAGCCTTAAAGGGCGAAGCCTATACGAAATAGAACGTTGGTTACGTACTGTAACCCCAGATTCTATGAGTATAGGCGTAGCCCTTTAAGTTCTGGGCCTCACTGGCTCCTAAATGGCTGAAGAAAAAGCTATTTTGGAACTGATTACCCGCTCTCAACGTAATTTATACGGACTGGGTGGGGCCCACACGACAGGTGGGCGTGGACTAAATTTTTAAGTGCGACGCTTTGCGTGACGGGATAAAACCCACATGCGACAGCCTTAAAGGGCTACGCCTATACTCATAGAATCTGGGGTTACAGTATGTAACCAACGTTTTTGGAAACTCTAGGAACCTTAAGTAAACCTGCAGTCTGAGAGCAAAGTGCTTTGTTAGGAAAGTATGGAACAACAAGATCTGAAATTTAAGCTGGAGCTAGGTTGTTGAGAGCTTTGTAGGTTAGAAGTAAGATAAACCCTTTGACCCTGTGTACACAATTTCGTTCCACCTCATGTACCACATGCGATGTGAATGACAATAAAGAATCTTGTATCCTTGAAACTGGGAGAACCCAGAGAAAACCCACGCAGAGAACATGCAAAATCCACCCAGAAAGTGCCTGAGTCAGGATTTGAACCAGCAACCTTCTCACTGAGGCAACAACTCTACCAACTGATCCACTGTGCCACCCCAGAATAAAACAGATGTTTAAAAAAACATAAATATAAGTAAATAAACATAAAACTGATTTTCTAAGCAATTAATTTTTTTTAATTAAAAAAGTGTTTGAATCGGACAAAAATGGATATAACTGTTATCAAGTAACAAAACTACATGCAATATTCCACTTAATTCCACTTAAACTTACATTTAATGTATCAGGACTCCTCAAATGTGTCCTTTTTGCAGAAGACACCACATTTTTTTGTTTGGGTAAAGATGTAAAACGGATGTTGGAATTGATGAAGACAGAATTTGATCAAATGCAAACTTGGTTTAAACTTAATAAATTATCATTAAATTTAGATAAAACTAAATACATGATATTT